TCGAATTTATTAAAGCTTGAACAGTATATAATACCACAAATTCGAACCAAAGTATGAATTTAAGAAATCAAACAATACGATACCACAGTATGAATTTAAAAAATTAACTCATGAATTCTATAAGGGTCTGGGTTTGGGGTTAAAAAAATATGAAATGTGGTTTAGATTTCCATACTTACCACATCTGTAAAATTAATTTAACTCCTAATAAAATTAACAAAATTCAAACTAATAATGGATTAATTTAAGTCCTAATAGATTAATTTTACAAACTAATAAAATTAAAATGTTATCGAATGTTACAAACTAATAAATTCGAATGTTATCAAAATGCTACACAAACTAATAAACATGTGTTTTATGCAATAAATAAAACTCAAACTAAGGCCTTGTTTGATTAACAGGTTAATAAAATAGTACCATTAATACTACCAATCAAAGATGCCCGAAGTGTCATTCAAGGAGAAAAGAAAAGAAAAAAAATGAAAAATGAAAAAAAACAAAGATTAATTTAACTCCTATCTATATTGGTTAAATTTGAAACATTAGACAAAAAGTCAAAAACTAATACAAAAAATAAACTCATTCAACACAAAAAACATGCCCTAAGAGGTAGAGGAAGGTATGTTTATTTTCTTCTTCCAATTTTTCATTTTTTTATTTAAAAAAAAAAGCCCACTTCCGTTTTGTTAATTAATTGGCACAGGTTTTGTTAGACATGGCTTTCTTAGACATGACTTCTCAATATTATATATACATACTGGAATCATACATAAATAGGGGGTTTAGGGTTTGGAATCATACATATAGATATATAAAAATAAAAATAAAAATAAAAGATTAATTTAACTCCTATCTATATTGGTTAAATTTGAAACATTAGCTAAAAAGTCAAAAATTAATACAAAAAACCAACCCATTCTTTTCTCAACCCACAAAAAATGAACCCATCCAACACAAAAAATGTATGTTTCTTTTCTTCTTCCAATTTCCAATTTTTTTTTTAAAAAAAAAAACACCCCCTTTTTCTTTATGTAAAATTAGAATTCTCTAATCAGAAAGACCCACTTAAGTCTTCATTCCAATGATTTTATCAGTCAAAAGCTTTTCAAAACCATAGAAAATCAACACCCATTTCCCATTAAAGAATCAAACCCATTGGATGATGTTTCCACAATAGATGTTTATCTGCCACTATTGATGTTTATTTTACCAACTATTGGTACAGAAGATAATTAAAGATAGATCTAAGAAACTTTCACAGATTATCACAAATTAAAGCCATAGCATCAAGAATATCCTATTGGTTCAGAAGATAATTACCAACTACAACAAACAAGTTTTGAAAAAGTGAGCAATAACAGATAATTATCAAGAAGATGAATAATGGGTGTTTCAATAAAGAGTCACAGGGGACCAAAAAAACTTTCTCCAAAGAAAATCTGTGCAAGATGTGTGTGTGTGTGTGTGTGTGTGTGAGAGAGAGAGCTTACAGATAAGAGAAGGAGAGGATTCAAGCAAAAGGTATGAAGAGCTGTGAGGAAAAAGTTGTATTGAATCCTGAAGTTCTGAAAGCAACAAATGCAAAAAAGATTGTTAATTTGCCAAACACAGCATTGTGTCTTCCCAAAGAAAATTTGAAAGAGATGAGAGGAGTACATGTATGAGAGAGAGAGGGTGTGTGTTCAAAAACAGAGCCATCATATTACATTTTTAGACATTTTGACAAAGAGACAAAAACAGAGGGTGTGTGTTCAAAATTATATATATAATACACACAAATAAATACATAGGATTGGTTTGGTCACTACCTTCAGATAAACTAACCATGTAAAAAACCATTTCAGATGTGTGATAGTGAAATGGGTATAAAGAAAAATGAAAGTTTTTTTGGGTAAAAAGTTTTTTTGGTATAAAGAAATAGGTCACTACTTTGAGAGGAAGGAAAAATGAAAAAAAATATATATATTAATTCCAAATTCCACCATGGAATAGTATTCAACAAACGGCTTATTTGGTATAACTTTTTATTAATTGAAAGTTTGATAATTTTTTTTTTGAGTAAATAAAAAAAAATTTGGGTGAATAAAGTTTGATAATTAAATAGTAAAAGAAGCAATACGACACATACTTTCAAAATAAAAAATAAAATAAAAACACCATATATTAATTGAACCAAACAACACCAAAAACTTATACATGAATCATGATATCTACTCATTTCTTTCTCAAGAGTAAAAATGTAACGCCCTCAAAATAACAACAATAAACCCATCTAATAAGACATACATTTACATATAAACTAACCACATTCTTTCATTCATAGAGTTCCATTACATAGGTATTACATGTTATCCTCATAACAAAATGCCCTACGGGCTTACAGCTTTCCAAGTTAACACTTGGTTACAACAAGTACAGTGATTGAATATAAAGATTCTTAGGATGTGATTGTTTATGTTAGTATTTATATATAGAGAATTTATGAGTGACCAAACCAATCCTGTTTGTAAAACTCCTCAGATTTTGAACACACACCAATCCAAACCAAACCAAACCAATAAATATATAATTTTGGTTATATATATAAATACATAGGATTGGTATCATAAATCAAAACCATGTAAAAAATAAAACATTTCAAACTAACCATATCAGATTAAGAGAAACAGGAAATTATATAACTCTTCTTGATAAAAGCATATATATATATATACAGGAAATGTTTATAACATAACTCATTCAAATGTTTCAAAACAGGAAACATTTTTTTAGAGGAAACTGTTCTTGAGAAACATTTCCAGAAGAGTTTTGAAATGTTAACTCTTCTTGAGAGGGTGTGCTTTTATCAAGAAGAGTTTTGAAATGTTTCTCAAGAACAGTTTTGAAATGTTAACATGTTTATAACATAACTCATTCAAATAGGAAATGTTTCTTAGGAAATTAATTTGAAATGTTTCAAATTAACCATATCAAGAAAAGTTATTTTAAATTTTTACATATATATATATACATATGTATATACACATATACATATATATACCATAAACTATTCTGAAATATGTGTATGTGTATATGTGTATATATATACAGATGTTAACATTTCAAAACTGTTCTTGAGAAACATTCTTGAGAAACATTTCAAGTTGATTGGTTAATGTTTATAATACCAAGATTCCACTTCAAGTTGATTAGTTGTAAAATGTTTAAAATGTTTATAATACCAAGATTCCAACAAATTGGGAATCAAACAAATCAGACCCAACAAATCAAACATTTCAAGTTGATTGGATTTAATTCCCTATACCAATCAGACCCAACAAACAAACGAAAATTCCTATAAAATAACAAACGAAAAAATACGACTAAAGTTTTCCACTTTTCCAATAATTTTATCCAAACCAAGCAAATTCCGGAAGAATTAAATCCAGAATA